TTCCGACCGCCGATCGAGGTAAATTTCATACCCCCGACTCGTTTTTCCCCGCTGATTCCTCCTATGGCCAAATCGAGGCCGAAATCCCGGCCAAACGGCCGGAATACGCGGCCGAAGCCCAGCGGCGCCGCCGCGCCCCCTCTCGGTTTTTGCCTCCGACGAGGCCCTTCCCGGCCTCCGTTCGATGCAATTTTTATATCACCGTGATCACCATTCTTTTCTCTACAGGTTGACCGGAGCCGAATCACCAAAACACGAACCTCGCCGGAGAGCCGCTGCACCCGAGAGCGCCGCCGCCGGTAAGCTCCGCTTTTCCGTGATTTTTTGGCCCCCCGAGGGCCCTAGGGTTGTTTTCTGACAAGGACCAATACGAGAGTGGCCGAATTCGGCCGAAAACAGTCAACCCGAGGCGACTCGCCGTCGCCGGAGCACGGCGGAGCCGTCGTGCCGGAGTTGCGATTTGGGCCGAAAGAGGCCCTGGGCCTAATTTGGATTTTTTTTGGAACACGTGCAGGTACTGTTAGTGTGTTTCAGTTCCCCGGGAAAAATTCAGGGAAAATTAGGGACAGCCTGCAGGCGCACTGTGAATCGTATTCGGATCCCGAAAACAAGTAAGGACCCCTCACCCTATTTCCTATCACGGTATTAAAGTTCAAAATGATAAAACGGTATTTCTTGAATTAACGCATGTGTGAAATTGCTTAAGGTTGCTAATGGAGCCCGAGTCTAGTGTGATTGATGATTTACTGTTATTTGGCCTGTTTACAGCTTTAAATGCAAAATGAGGTTTGATGTGTTCATTTTACAGATTTGTGTGCATGTACTACGTTTTTTATTAATTATGGGTTGAATGACTGAAAAACTGATACTGTATGTTGTCTGTTTGGTATGAATTACGATTTGCTTGTTTAAATGTGAATTGATGATGCTGATTGAGGAAAAGGAAACTGAAAGATTGTGTAGACTGATAATTGTATTATGGGGGTCAGCCTGACTAGATATCCTGGGAGATGGTGGACGGACCGGGTCCGTAGGGAACCCTACCGGGATTGTGGTCTCACATGCCGGACGGGGTATGGAGATCTTATGGTTTTGGCGCCCATACCGGACGGGGTATGGGGACGGCCCGTTTCACCCTCATACCGGACGGGGTATTGAGGTTTATGGTTTTGGCGCCCATACCGGACGGGGTATGGGGACGGCCCGTTTCACCCTCATACCGGACGGGGTATTGAGGTTCATGGTTTTGGCGCCCATACCGGACGGGGTATGGGGACGGCCCTGGAAACTGATTATGAATGTTAAAGGTTAACGGGTAGCGGAACCCCTATGGACCCCCACGGATACTAGTAGGCTGGTAAATGAGAAAAAGATATGTTGTACAATGATTGAATTACAAGAGGCGTGATAAGTGTTATGTTTTACAGCTTATATTATTCCATGATTATGATAATGTTATTATTTTTCTTATATTGTTTTCATAAATTCCACCGGGGTAAGTGGATGGTAAAAGTTTTCATGTTAATAAACGAGTTTATTGTAAATTATGCTCCATTGGTCTTTTTGTGTTTTTCTACCCACCTTTACCTCCGTGACGGTGAGATATCGTGATGTTCTTACTGGGCTAGTGTAGCTCACTCCTTATTTAACCATTTCAGATCAGGAAGACATGGTTCCCGAGCCCGTTCCGCAGGAGGACGACGAAGGGGATGCCTAGAGACTCTGTAGTCATACTCATAGTTTTATTTTCGAGTTTCTCTCTTAGTTAGTTTAATCTTTTATATTTTAAGTACGTTTTTGGTTTTTCGTGTAAGGGATGTTGACTGAAATTTTGATATCGCTTCCGCATTTGATATATTTAAATACTCATTTCATTTTAATATTTCCGGGGCCGTTACAGTATGGAGGAGACATCATCATGCCAATTGGGCCCATAACAAAAAACCATATGGAAGAGATATCATCATGCCAAGTGGACCCATAACAAGGAGCCAGACCCAAGGATTACAACAAGCTTTTCAACTCTTCATCCAAGTTTGGATTAATGAGGAAGATGGGTTTGGATCCACTAAAGAAGCCCAAGGAAATAAGTTACCCAACTAATTAATCCAAGGGCATAATAGACTTATCAATTGTCTTCAAATACGTGATGAAAAATGGATAAGAAAAGGAAGCAATTGGCCAAGAAAAGGGGAAAGACCATATATATCATAATTAAAAATTTAAACTTTATTTTTAATTAATTTTCTAAATAATTACAATTTTAATTAGAAAATTTTTATTATCATTTGACTCACATGACTTATCCTATAAATAGATTATCAAGTTTTTATTGTAAGTATCCAAAATTAAAAACTAATAATATTGTGAGTCTTATTCAAGAAATGTGTCTTCATCCTTCTTGTTGAGTAAGAAGTGGATATGGTTATTAAGGTAATTCTTTGTAGCATTTTTCCATTATTCTTTTAATTCTCCGTTTTTCAGTGATTTTAGTTCCTATTATTCTTGATAGAGGGTTAAGTAGGGAGAGTTTTCATAAGATCAAATACTTTTAGTAACTTGAATGAAATTGTGTGAGTTCCTGATTATGTTGATTGATATTAGATTCTGCATTAAGAAAAGTATTATCCTATTTTCATGATTTATTTTATTTTTATTTTCTTGTATATATAATTTTGTTTTGCTATCGTTTTAAATAAGCTATGTTACTAGTATTTTATTTTAACTTTTTAATTTTTGGTAGTTTATCAAATACTACATATATATATATATTTGATATTTGAGTTGAGACATTACAAATATCACTATTTAGAGTAAGTCGAATTATTTAAAAAAATTATATCATAATTCTCTATGAGTGATTGAAAATAATTTAATATTATTTACAAAGTGTCACTCTGTGATTGGTGGATAATAAGTTAAGAGTACCAACATCTGAAGCTATTTGACTTGGCCAAAATTTTAAGTAGTATATATAAATTTTATTTTTGTGCTGCGTAGACTAATGATATGAGGAGATAAGAGTAGAGTAGCCAAGTAGAGGAGAATATTGGGAGAAGGTAAAGTCTCTCTACTGGTCACTATATACATGTGCAAATGTCAATGATGAAGTTGTGAATTTGCTCTCTGTATTTAGACATCTCACGCAATGTCGCCCACATGATATCTCTTACCAACATTCACCAAAAACGTGCACATAACAAACTCTCCTCTACACACTCTTCTTTGTATCTCTTTTTCTCTTTTTTAATTATTCATAACACATGCCTTTTTTTTTTTTTTTTTTTCACTTTTGGGTAAAAAAAAAAAAAAAAAAGTAATTGGTGACATTGATTCCATGAATATCAATTTTTTTTTTTTTCTCTTTAAATAAATTAATAGTTATAATTGAAAAAAATTACAGTACCTGAAAAGCAGTATCTTCCTGGGGAATATCAATGTGAGGGACCAAGGAGGGATGATGAGACCCAAGTGAGTTTTAAAGTGACTTACAAAGTAAGGGATGTTTCAGTTGGTTAATTAGGTGTAATGGGTAGGCTTATAACTCCACATATATATATATGCATATGTATATTATATATTACAGAAAATAGAAATTAGGTGGACCATAAAAAGTAAACCCAACCCAGAAAAAATAATAATAATAATAATTTTTTTAAAAGAATACATATATATATATATATATATATATATATAAAACAGAATACAGGTGGATACATATGGCATGAACAGTGTCCAACTCAGCTTTGCTATCCACTTATTGTTTGTCATTTAATGAGAACAGACTGTGCAAGTGAAGTGTGAAGTAGCCAAAGTGAGTGTGTTGTAATGTTGTCCATGTAGTTAGGCTAACTTTATTCTAAACCAATCTACATATACATACATATATATATATATATATATATACATATACACACACAGAAAGATAGAAGGAGGAACCTAATCCACGACTTTTTGGTTGTGGTTCTGGTTGCTGCCAAACCCTAGCCATGCCCATTTCATGCCTTCACTCTTACACATCGCTCTCCAACTTAACAAACAAAATATTAAAACCCATTTTAAATTATCAAAAGAAAAAAAAAAAAAGATGCCCCCATCACTCACTTTTCGTGAATGAAAGGCAACCATGAACACTAACCACTTACTTACTCAAAGTATTCAACTTCAACAAGTAGATCATCAAATATGACAACATCTAAATTAAAGAATATTCTACTTGATAAAATTTCAAAAATTTAATCAAAATCATACTAATCATGAATTAATATATATTTCATATATTCAATTAAAAAAAAATATTAATTATGTTTAACAATATATGGCCGGAGGTTTTTTTTTTTTTTTTTTTTTTTTTATCTTCTTCTGCTAGTAATGGCAGTCTACCAAAGCCGGAGTGGAGAAAACAAGGCCTTGCTGAGTTGATCCGTACTGGAACTTCGTTTCACCACGGTGGTCATGATCCTCTGGTGCAGGCAAATTAAGATCTAACGCCAGAATATTTCTGGGTTTCATCTCATGAGTAATTTCCCCATTGTTGGATTCATTAGTTGAGCTTGTGTCCTGCAAACCACCACCGGCTGCGGCTGCTGCAGCCGTCCTGTGACGCCTCATGTGACCTCCAAGAGCTTGCCCAGAAGTAAACTCCGATCCACAAATGGAACACTCGTGAATTTTTGACTTGTTTTGGTTACCGCTAGATGTAGAGTGATGATAAGCCTTGTGGGTATTGCTGTTTGGTTGCAAAGAAATTGTGGTCTGCGGAGGGGGAGGAGAACTATTGATGATGATCATGTTAATTTTGGGTACTTGAGCTTGGTCTTCAACATCATCCTTGGATGGAAAATTAGGTTTAGGCTTCTTGTGGCTGGCTCTGTGTCCACCCAAAGCTTGGAAAGATGGAAAGGATCGATTACATGTTTTGCACTCATAGACTTGATTGAATTTCTGATCACTACTGACCTTGGAACTCGTAACTTCTTGAAGACGACGAGGGTGATGACGACCCTGCGCCAACAAGATTAAGCAATTAGCCATGTCCTCTTCTTCTTCGGTGCTTGATGAAGTTGGAGAAGAAACGTAGTCATGGTCAACAACTCCTGCAGAAGCTGTTGATGATGTGGAGATCATCGGAATCAACGGCGATGATTGTCTTTGCCGCTTTGTTCTCTTCCCTTTGATCATCATGCGGTGGCTCTGATGATGATGAGATGGTGGAAGAGATACCTGATCCCCTTGAGCTTCCATGTGAGTCAAGTAGTATAGTATATGTGAGGAGAGAGAGAAAAGACAGAAAGAAAGAGAAGCAATGAAAATGGAGAGACGAGAGTTTGTTATATAGTGTATAGACGCTAATTAACAACTAACATGGTGGTTGCTGTATTTGTATTGTTTATATCTATATATATATATATATATTTGTGTGTGTGTGTATATATATTTATTTAAAAGAAGAAAAAAAAAAAAAAAAAAAAGGGAAAGAAAGAAGGCCGCCCCCGTGAAGAACTAACCATGAAATTTAAGCTGCCAAATGCCACCAATATTCTTGCTTGCGTTTACAACCTCCAAAGTGGTGTTAACAAGAAAAGCTTTTTACTTTCACCCACCTTTTAATTTCTCCACGTCACTCCCTCATACTTAATAATCATAATTTTATCTTTTTCAAATTTTCAAGCGTAAATTTATTCTTTTAATTAATTATATCAATCTTATTATTAATAAGCTACAAAAGTGTAAATTAAGTTTGTCAAATAGAATTTATTTTTTTAATTAAATTAAATTTATTTTTATTTTACTTTTTAAATATCACATAATTAGTATACATTTATCATTTAAAAAATTTAGTTCATATTTATTTTCTAAATAATGAATATATTATTTTTAATTAATTTAATTTAAATATAAAAATACTTGAACTTTTTTTAATTTTTTTTTTAGTTTTTTTTGTTGGAACAGGATGTTCATATATATATGTATCACACTTATAACCTAATTATTACATATCTTATTAAAAAGGACATATGGAACACAAAGATTGAATTAAATCCACAAATTTTTTTATAGAATGTGAAAAATACCAAGCATGTAGCCAAAAAAAAAATAACTATGCATATCTAATTTTAAATTTAATTTCCTTCATCATTATAAAGATGCATACTTTGCATTTACTTGTACTAATTAAATTGAGATGAATTCAATAGAAAACATTCAGATGAATTGCTGAATTTACAGAGAATCTCAAGTTTTTTTATACGAAATGATTGTATAAAAATTATAATTATGAACAAAAACATTATAAATAACTTCCTCAGTATGGACTGCTCATATTTTATATACTGTAGTACTGGGTTATTCGTAATTTTGTGCACAAATGTATTTATCTATGATGTCACATCGCCTTATTGAATATTGAAATAGCATTACTTGTGGGTATTTAATAGTATTAAGAATATATATACGTCTGGAATTATAAATCCAAAAGTTCTAAGCATTTTCTTTTAAATTTACACCCTAGTTCAAACCTTAAAAAGACTATACAAATCCACAATATATATATAAGGTTTCAATGTAAAATTAAAAATATGTATTTCAAATTCTATAAATTTTAATAGAATTTAGAATATTATATTTTTTTTTTATTTTTTTTTAAATGAGAACAAATTTTAAATGTTATACATTTAAGATTAAGACATGCTGACAAAATCATCACTAATGAATCAAATAAGATCGGCAAAAAGTTGATGATAGAAATGGAGTCCAGAGGAACCGAAAAGACGTAGTTGGCGAAGAATATTGCATTTTTTTTTTTCAATTCTAAAAAATGATTAATTTTTATTATTTTATAATAAAATTTACAAGCATGCATTATCTCCTAACTTGTAATATATATATATATATATTTATATAACTATAAGCTTATTCTAGTCAGAGATTATTTTTCCTCAAAGTCCCTATAATTCATGAAAGGGTCCGTTAATTAGATATAAATATAATCAGATTAACCATTCAAGGTTGATTAAAATTAATTGAATTAGTCCTCCTCTACGACCACATGGATTAATTGTATTTTATTCATTTTACAATAATTATTTCCGTATAAATTAAATTGACTTTTGGGAATTAAATCCTTTGCATATAAATTAAATTGATTATTTTTAATTAAATTATAGGTAAATCCCAATTAAATAATAAAATTTGTTTCATTCCTTTATTATTTAATTGCTCAATAAAAAAATAATTATAGGAAGACTGTAATTTTTTAGTGTACCAATTGAAATATATTATTCTAGGCTTATTGATACTAAGTCTAGTGAGCTTTTTTTTATAAAAAAAAAAAAAAAACATTTTGCTTTAACTATAGAAATGACACATTTATTTAGCTATTAAAAAAATATATTTATTTGGGTATATGCTATGCTTGAAGAGTAAAAGAAATATTGTATAATTCACATAGTCAGTAATTCTAAGCATAACTATATTTTTGCATGATGTGAAATGCTATTAAATCTTCTTGTTATAATTATTAAATGAATCTATTCAAAATTATTATTTCTATGTAAAGTTATATATTACACATGGAACTCATCTAATAAATGGGTTTGATATATAACAAAGTAGAATCTTTACACAATGAT